TTGGTTGCTAATTCTTTGGTTACGAACAATATTTTTGTCTTTGATTTGCCAGTCCAGATTCCATTTTAACATATCAAACCAAAACATCCAGAACACAAAAGTAGGACTTCATTCTTTTCTCCACAGATTGTTGGGATGCTCATGGAGCTGGATGGCATGAAGATCCAGTATGAAAGAATGGTCTCAGATCTGCTTCGCTGGATCAAAACTAAGGTAACAGGTCAATCCCAGAAAAAACACAGGAAAAAAAAACAATTAATGAATTAAATTTGGTAATACTTTGACTGAAGATGGTGCAGCTGAATGACAGAAGATTCCCAAACTCTTTGAGGGAGATGCAGAAACTGATGAGCGCTTTTAAGACCTACAGAACTGTGGAGAAACCTCCCAAATACCAGGTCAGATGACCCTCACATTTTAAATTCAGCATCCTCCTTTGTTCATCTCCTTAAAGTTAAGTCTTGTTTTTCCAGGAGCGTGGGGCAATTGAGGCCCACTTGTTCAGTCTGAGGACTCAACTGGCAGCCAACAACCAATGGGCTTATAATCCTCCCGAAGGTACAGAACACTAACAGTCAATTATAATATAAGGGCTGCTATGACAAGGATCACTCATGCTGTTGTGTATTTGTAAAGGTAAAACTCTGAATGACATCGAGAAGAGCTGGGCTATGCTGGAGAGGGCGGAACATGAACGAGAGCGAGCCCTACAGGAAACGCTGCTACGCCTGGAAAGCCTGGAGCAACTTGCACAGAAGTTTGCCAGGAAGGTAATGCCACTCTACTCATATGAATGTCTTTGTTACAAGTCTCCCAGTTTTGATCATAATGTTATGGAGTTGCCTGACATATTCCCGAGTAAATTATAAAAACAACTTTGTGATTACAAATCACCGTGTTGTGCGTAGAAATAAATGTCAGTGAGTTTTGGTAATGTTAACCTTAAAATGGATGCGACCTTTTGACCACTCTTGTTCCACTGGACATATATGCAAGATCTTGTTATTTGTTATTAACAACCCCACAGAAAA